AATAATTCAGAACATGCAGTGAAAACGATATACGGCGAATTACGAAAATCGTCTATGTCAAAATTTTATTAGAACAGTGTTGACAGAAGGGATTTAATGTCAATTCGTAGAGGGCAAATAATGAAAAAAAATCTAACGACTGGATTTTCTTTAAATAAACAAAAACTATTTTTTAAGCCTTGTTTTTGACCAGCCCCGTTGCCATGGCAACAGCACACACCTTAGCCAAAATGCGGGAATAAACCCTTCTGAGGTTAACCTTGACTCTTGCAAAAAATGGGCGCCAAAGCATAAATAGTTTAAAAGTGATGCTGAATTAGGCATAGGCACTTAAAAACTGTGTTTGGCCACCTTAAAATAAGTTAGGTAAGATCGCAAAAAAGTGTTTCAAGACATGTTTAGTAACACTTTGTTATTCTGTATCTGGGCTTTAAATATTAATTAAAATTGTCCCAGAACTACAATAATGCAATCTTGTTATCTTGCCGAGTTAATGCTGTATCTTGTCGAAACTGAATTTTGATTTTATTATTTTACACCTGGATGTATTTTAGTTAAAAGCCGAAACTTGCAGTTGCTACTGGCGAAACCGGAATAGGGTTCGTTATTTTATAAGTGAGAATTTGTAACTACGATCAGCTCATGTGCAATATATAGTGGTTGCCATGAATAATAGAGAAATGAATTGAAAGAAGTGAAAAGAGAGATCGGAACATTTAAAACTGCCGATAAAAGCAGTACTAATTAGCCAGTTGTGAATGGTGTTGGTTTTTAAAATCATAGTATTATATAGAGGAGGCAAACTTGGGTATATAATTTTTTTCATACGTGCCACAAAGGTTACAGATGCCCCTGAAGCGGAGACGACCACTGCTGAGTCAAGAGCCTAGCTGTAGTTGAGTAATTTAGAGTGTTATTTGTTATAATATAAAAATACGGGAGGTGACTTACGTGTGGTTGGTATGTGTTGTGTGTAGAAACTGTGCAACCCATTTCCAGTGAAGTTTACTGCTATCTGACAGGATCTGACCGACCTAGCAACCACAATGCAACTGATGCTCACATTAGTCAGTTCCGCTTTCACGAGTTCTCGCGTGACAGAAAATGTTTAGAATATGTAATGTAAATGTATAAACAAAGGTGTGCTTGCGTCACTTAAGATTAATTACGACTTGATTTTATTCTTTAATTGTCAAGAGGGTTTTCAGGAGGTGTAGTTCTCTTTGTAAACTAATTTCCTTTTGTGTTTATACAATTAAGATTCTTAATTTAAAGGTTTTATAAATACTATAACTTCTTTACTAAAATTGGCAGGGGTATTTGTCAGTGATTGGTGATAGATCTTCGTTCGCTAGTTGTTTACGTGATAGAAATTTTACGCGACAATAGACGGTTCCTCGGTCCACAGAACAAAAGCTGGAACACAATACTCGACGGAGGTCTATTTGGGAGCGGCCGCCATGCTGGCTGGTTTTTCCGCCGCAGCCTAAGTTCGTTACATTACTGAATACTCTAAAAATAAATCTCTCTGGGAACCTGAACTGCTGTGTGTGGTTTGCAGTTCTCTTCTAAAAATGTTGCGTTATTTAATTTAGAAAACAGCAAATTTTATTCCATTAGCTCTTTGTTAGCGCTCTTTCTGTATACTGGGCTCAAAAAATCTCCATAATTAGTGAAAGGACTTTACAAAGTGACTCTTTGTCGTCGCAGATTGGAGGAAAAGATGAATAGATAGAACGGTGTTTCAGTTGGCGGATAATATGCGAGGCCGAACGAAACGGTCATGAACCAAGATTTTTGAAACTATCCCAACTGAGACAGGAATGAAGTCGTCTTACTACGTATTTGACTACTTGCGCTGTGATTAGTCAATAGAAACGCTAAACCTATGATTTCTTGTACGGTAATCACGGTTCCCATTAAATGGTAGCACTAAGTCGGGGGACCTGTGCACTAACTATTAGGCCATCCCGTTTTCCCGGAATCTGAAATCAATATTTAATCTAGTCGTAAGACGTCGAGTCTCGTGTCACAGCCTTTGGTATGACCAGTAGAAGAATGAACTAAAAAAGCTGGCACAGCACAGATTCAAAGACATTGAAAGTCTGCCACCTGACAAAGACGGTAAAGACATTCATATCAAATATGAATGAAGACTTACGCGAGTCTTGCATTTGTCGTTTGTAGACACTGTACAACCCATTGTTCACCATGTTCAGTCATCGAACTGGCCAAGGCAACTGAAACAAACTGCCGACACGTGCGAAGCTGTGACAGTCTAACCATGACGTCACTGTACGTCATAAGCTCAAATTAAGTTCCTTATTTAGTATCGCTCGTTGTTAGTACCTTTGTTTTACTTCTTTCGTGGTCAGTGCAACAAAGTCCACTTGATGGATATTGGAACAAAACCTGCCAAAACAATAACTGCTGGAGTGATATCTTGGAGGGGCTAGTGAAGTTATGAATATAGTACTTTCCATTAATTCGTTCGACACATTCATTACGATTCAAAAACGTGACAAGGAATGTAACTACGCAAAACGACACTCGAACATCATAGAGTTCGGTGAAAATCACAAAACTATTACGCCTTCGATTCCTGCAAGAAACCAGACATTTCACCTTTTCACTGTTTTCAGCAACCAATTTTAGAATGAGGCACGCTGCGTGGGAATGTACAAGCAACCTATATTTATAGCTGTCTGCTCAAAAGAGGGAAGACTTGTTTGTTTAGGAAGGAAGCCTTCTCGAGATTAAAACGAATCAAAACAGGATAAAGGCGAAGTGAGCAATAATTAGCTTGACGTTCCAACAAACCTGTCAAAGCAAGAGGAATGGGAACAAAGGGTAATGTAGACACGGTACAAAATGTCAAGTCGTGCTTGCAGAACTGAATAAAAACATTATTTTTGAGATCAAACTAGACTGTCTTGACGGTAAAATAAAATAAGCAAATTTGATGCTCAGCGGGGATAGTTTACACACAGTTCCCTTGTTATTTCTTTAGATGCTTCACGTGTGTCAGTTTTAGTTAGCTACTTACAACAATTCGAAATTCGGGGTAACATAGCCATCTGACGATATTCCCTTGATGGCTGAATTGCAGATGAGAAGCTTCTTTTCTTATCACACAACTAACGTAATTCTTAGGGCCAATAACTATATTCAGCCAATCAGATTACTCTACTGGCGGTCCAATATTTTCCAAGAATTGGACCGAGTACTGTCCTGAATGATCGCTAAGCTGACCTCGTGTTTGATCTTTATCAATGAAGACCTCGGGTTGGTTCAGTAACCCCAGAACGGCTTTCACGCTAAAAAATAAACTGTCTTTAGACCACTTCCACGGTGAGAAAACTTAAAATCTGTTGCAACAAATACACAAACAAGCAAACAAACAAACAAGTAAACCAGGTAGAATATTTGTTCAAAACATCAGCTTTACTAAGTCGCTACGGTGGTTAATTTTAAGCTGATAAGTAGCTAAGTATAAAATTTGCTGAAGAATTTCGTTGAACCGGAATAAGCAATTTTCCTGCACTCGTGAGACAGCTGACAGGAACACAACAGGAACTGTATCTATCGACATCTGAGTAATCTAAGATGCCTTATCAAACAACGCGACCGGCAAGATCAAACGTGAAGGAAAATTAAAGAACGCAGTCAAACAATAATTAATTATTAGAACTGGACGTTTTTAACAAAGGCGTGCATTCATCAGTTTTCATAGATCCATTTTTGGCGAGGAATGCTCAAAATTTTCTGAATTGGTTAGTCAGTCACTCAAACAAAAAATAGTCGTGAAGTCAGCAGTGTACTGCGAAAGTTATTAGACAAGTTAAATAATTTTCAAATGTTCGAAAATATCAGAATGAAATGAAAAATAGCAACTCCTGAACTAGAATCTTTTTTCTTTGGATGACAGTAAGTTGATCTAAGTTATTCAAGGCTGGCTTCAAATAAACGCTTGGGCGTTTATCTTTTATTAAAAAAAATAAATCTAATGGAGCTGGTGGTTAATCAAGAAAATAGGGTTCTTATGCAGCAGAATTATTTTACCATGCTCTATATTTATCTCACACAGCCCAATCATTACCGATACGTTTTTCAACCGCTGTTTTTGTCGGCTCTGTGGCGTCTCTGTTTGTTCATGGACGTCAGTTAGGCGGAACAGATGATAAAACAAAATGACCTATGATTCTCAATCTCAAGCAAAATGAGCAATACAAGTTGTTGAGGGATTCACATTTCAGAAATGTCGTCATCTGGATATGTAGTGAGGTACTGGATCTTGGATTATTAAGGAGAGTAACTGCTGAATAAGCTGGCGCTGTGACTTCAGGTGTTCTACACAAAACGTTTTTCAAAGGCTGTTTATTGCAAATATGGATTAATCGCGATGCAAATATCACGGGAAAATATCCTTTGATATTAAAATTACCATTCAACTATGAATAACAAGCTTGCTACAGCTGGGTCAGTTTTAAAGCAGATGTTTCTATGTGAAAAGACAGAGATATAAACTGACGAGTAGCTAAAACAATCAATCATCACTTTAGTTTCATCATGAAAGCCTCTGCAGTTATGACGTGTTTTTCGATGGTTCTCATCTCAGCTGTATTTTGCTACTCTCCAGAGGTAATGCCTTCATTGTTAAAAGTATTTAACTGAAATCTCGCATTCTTCGTTCTATTAATTAATTTGCGGCCTTGTCCTCGTGCAAAAGGGAATAACCATACTATTATCTTTGTTTAGAAGTCATTGTTTAGCTGTAGCGTGTTGTTTGGTGCTTTCAGTTCTCGAGGACAGAACACGATTGTCGTCTATGTTAATAGACAAAGAAACAGTTTTTCTCTCGCTATGATACAAATTCTGATTTTTACATCAGGAGGTTTGACTGACTGTTCAGAACAAAAAATGTTCAAATTACAATTCTGTCTTATTTTGTAGAGAAAGTCAAACTGGCCTACATCCTTTATTCGAAAGAGTGCCGCACTTTTTACCGCATTTTTTGACGTTTTGATGCGATGCACATTCGAGGTTGGCGCTTTTTTAAAAACCCATTGGGTGTTTTTCTTTTATTAGAATATCAAACAGTCGTGTCTTTTTTTGGGTAGCGTGCAGTGTTCTGGCGGAAGCTTTGGAGCGAGTGTTAAAATCGTGATTGGAGAGAGATGCAATTTTTGACACCTTAGCGACATTATTTGAATCCTCGCTCAGAGCGGATGCTGACAGTAATTTTCCAGGCTCACATGCCCCGGGGTCTGTAGGCACGCGGACTACGCGGACTACGCTGGCGACAATCAATGCTTCCAGAACTTTGCAGCGAAAACAACGGCCGAGTGTTCCAAAAATGGTAGCAGAACTGTCCCTAGAGTCACAAGAACATCACGTGCCACACACCTCAGTCTCGGTCTGGCTCGTCTAGTCAGTCTAAACGAGGAGAAGGCGGTGGGGGGACGGGGGGGGGGAGGGGTGTTAGGGATAGGGTCAGGGGATAGACAGGACAAAAGACCAGAATGTCATTTTCAATCCTAGGACACTCCTACCTTAATCTCATCTTAGACTTCCTCACTTGTATTTGCATCGAAAATTTTACATTGTAGGGAAACCAGTTTGCAAGTTTGTTTCACATGCAACTGACCAGGGTTAAATAATGGCGGATGAGATTAAAACTATCTTTGGACAATGGACTTATGTTAAGCTTTCTGCCTATTAAATAATGTATTCTTAAATATTATTTACGAAAATTTATCTGAAATTTGCAGTTGGAGAAAAGAATTTGGCAGCCTGCAAGCTGGTTTGAACCTCTAATTAAATGTAAGACTGGCAACAAACATTCCTTGGGGAGTTACGGCTGCTACTGTGGACCAGCATTCGATAAACAATTCAAGAAGACTCCTGTGGATGATTTGGACAGGTGACTACCAAAGTTGTTTTATACCGTGTGCCACTAAATTTTTGCGGGTTCTAATTTTTGAGATTTCTGCGCTTTTTTTCCACGATCTGCCGAAAAAAATTCGCGTTACAAAAAGAAAAATTTCCTCAAAAATTTACTCCACTGGCCAAATTGTACATGCAAACATGACAAGTAGAATCTTATTGCTACCACTTATTTAGAACGTCCCTTCCGTTGAGGTTAAAAAAAACAGAAACGATGAAATAAGAGACGAAACGCACTGAACTAGAAAAATGTTTGACAGGAAAAGATCGTCTGAAGGTACTCGATTGAGGAGAGCATCTACAATTCTACACAAGAGCACGATGTAACTGTGATAGAGTGACACTGATTACTGGATTACTGTGTTTTACGTCTCTACATGTTGTTTCACTTGTCAATTGCGCAATTGCACGTAGTTTAATTAAAAACATGCGAAAATGTTGTAATTTCAATGGTCTCCAATTAAACTCGACTTCCCGAAAATCGCAAACATTAGTAACCTGCGAGGACCAGAAAAGCCAGTCTTTTACAATCGCAAAAATCATCAGTTCCCGCAAAAATAATTTAATAAACTCCCGCAAAGATTTAGTGCCTCACGGTACATGAGGATTTTACGTCAAAACATTTTGTTTTGACATACATATAAATCAATGAATAGATTTATCATCAATTTTCTCGAGGGACCCGGAAACTTTTCGGGCCCGCAAAAAGCCATTTTTAGTTAATCTGGTGTATATACCTGAAACTTCTTGTATGAAGGGAACTTCCAGTCATATTAAGAATATTGGCATGTTCCCTATTTAATTTTGTTTTACTTTTCAGTTGATGTATTTCGAAGGGCTCAGTACAGTATGGAAAAAAGTATAAAACAATTGACTAGGATTTTAGTGAGCAACACTGTTATGTATCTGTGATGATGAAGTTGTTCTGTTAGTGAAGTGAAAGCTTGATTTGTCCTCTGATTTCAGATGCTGTTTACAACACAAAAAATGCTTGGAGAAATATACAACTGAGGGCGAAGACAGCCTTTGCTCTCCAACACATTTGAGAGATTGTGAATGGAATGCAATAAACTGCATGTATGCTCTTGATATCAAAAAGATTTTACGTGACGGACGGAACAACCTAAGCTGTTAGTGATGAAAACTCTGTAATTATTAAAGCTTCCAAGCAATAACAGAATACGAAATGTTGACGCTGTTTGAGTGAAGTCCAATTTGGGGGTTTTCGGGGGTTCTAGGTGAAAAGTAAAGGGATATTTGGAGGGAAAATCAATGGGTTATGGGAGATTTGGTTCAGATAAAACGAAATATTCACTAGCGGAATCATTAATTTTTGCAATTGTAATTAGCGGGATAAGGAATATTTCGGCCAAAAATTAACGGGATGCGAGATACTCGCCATCTTACTTTGCTTTGGCAGTCTATCTACCTCTGGTCTTCCTTTTATCTGTATGCCATGCTTCCTTTCAACCCTTGCTTAATTTCTGACATTCATGTTTCTTCACAAAGCATCTCGGTAAAGATTTATTTTCTTTTTCTGAGATGTCCCACTATGCAGCAGTTGCAGCAGTCGTTACTTGTGCTGTCACGCAACTCTTCGCAACGCAACGCTTCGGTGAAGAGAAACGTTACGTGACGACCAAAGTAACGGCTGCAAGACTATCGCACTCATAATCCCTAACACAAAGGTGTTATACATCTTATAAATTGACCGACGATTGGCATAAGAAAAATCAGGGACGTAGCCAGGATTTTTGAAAGGTGGAGTGGGGGTCACACTGTATCAAAGTGAGGGTACTCACCAGATTGTCACGTCATTTTCGCCACCTGTTGTAGGTTGTTTGCTTAAAAAAAGGCTTACAAAAAGGGCGGGGGGGGGGGGCGTCACGAGCACCTCACGACCCCCTCTAGCTACGCCCGTGAAAATCTTGTTTTAAAAACGAAATAATATATTTTGCTAGGCCAGGCCCTCCAGGCTCGGGGTGTGTAAAACAAAGAGATGCAAACCAGTGGTTTAATTAGTTTTGGTACAGGAGTCTACATGCGAACTTGAATTTTCTAGAGAGTACAATATTCCCGGAAAGACGAGGGAGAGACGGAAATCTGGGAACAAGTCTCATTCTTAGGCTCCACTCTTCCCAAGTAACATGTCACCAATACCAAAATGGCGCTTGCGAGCGCTTGTACATGAGGTTTTCCGCTTTTTTGACAATGTGGCTGTTCATTTTAAAATGCACTGACCTATCAGAATTACAGGTACGCTGTATTTCCTTTTAGTAGTGATCTATTTTTGTTATTTGTTTGAAGCAATGCTTAATCTTGCGGCCCGTACATTATTTCGTGATCAAGTCGCTTTCTGTCGCTTTTACGAAGTAAAAAGCTAAGCTATTCTTCCCAAACCTAACCACTCGACATTTGACGCTTGTTTTATTTTAAAATTACGGTAGTCTTAATTGTTAGATCAGTGATCATTGTTAAATCTCCTCATTGTGGGGAGTTCATTGTCCTCAGGCCGGTCAGATGAGAATTTTTATGTAGGTAGACCAAGATGAAAAGGTCCAAGGCGAAAAGAACAATTCTGATTCGTTCCCGGAGGCCTGTTTGGGATCTCGGGCACAGTTTTTCCCCTTATTGTATTCATATTCGCAATTAGCCAATCAGAAGCCGTGTTTACTGTCGTGATATCCTGATATCCCGCAAGCGACTCTCATTAATACACAATGTTGGCAATTACATTATGTAATGTAATTACCAACATTATGTATTACAGTATCAAAATTACATTATGTAATGTAATTTCCAGTTCCCGAAAAGGCTTTCAGGACTCTGTTTTTCTTTGAGACTTCCTGGGGAAAATATAGAGACCCTGAGATGTCATTGTAAAAACTGTCAAGACTTCTTCACAGACAGGCACCGTAGAAATGTTTCAAAAGCAAAACAACTATCCGAACAATACTGCAAACTGTGTTGGCAAAATTAGACTGCTAAAAATGGCTGATTTAAATGTCAAAGGAAATAACTCTTCATCATCTAATTATTTCTGTAGTGGTAAATTTGTAAAGTATGCATTCAATGACAAATCACCCATGTATTGTTACTCTAAATGAAATATTATCCCTTAACAGCTCTGCACGATTTGCTCGGCTAGGATTTTATCAGGAAGCTTGTGCTTTGTTCTGCTAATTTTGTAACAAAAAAGAACATTGATGTGTGCTTTCAGAAAATACTGTCTTGCTTGTCAAATGTTGCTTTCATCATAATAACATAATAGCAGAATTAAGTGATGCAACTTACGTGTGCTGAGAATAGGTATGAATACTTTACAATCCATAGTTTCGTTCAACTTGTAATAATATATCAGCTGTTAAGTGAAAATCTGTTGATACCGTTGATAGAAAAACCTCAATGTTTATATAATGGGTGATTTGAGAAAATATCCATACCCTATCATGAGTGGCATGAACATTTTAAACCCCATTGCCTTCAGAAATTTCAAAATGCTCCACCCCCCATGCCTTCCAAACTCCAAGATCGTTAACCCCTCCACCCCTTCGGAATTTCTGATTTTTTTCAGACACTTTGGAATTCATGTTTGACTGCCTAAAACTTCTAACGAATGGGAAACTTGCGTTTTCCCCCTCTCCAAGAAAATTCTGCTCATAACTTTTGGTCAAGCAAACAAGCAACTCAAGTTTGTTTTAAAGTGTTTAATATAAAAGTACACCATAGCTTTCCCTTCTAAGTGTTATATTTAAGTTGCTTACCACCAAAAAAACTTTTTTTCCGCTCAGTAGCTTCATATTTTCAAAAGAGTAGATCACATTGATACCAGTGGAAGACAAAAGTAAAGTTCATAATGTACCGTCACCCACCATGTTGAAAATTTTGTTCATTGAGTAACTGCTGACCGCTAGTACTGCAACCTAAAAATCTGTCAGATGTTCCATTTGGAAACCAAAGACTGGTGCAAGTTTTTCGCATGTAACAAGATCGTCGATCAACAATTTTAGATTGACAACAACACAAACTTGTTTTATATTTTATTAATCTATTGACTAGTTCATCGGCTCTAAGGCCTCCTTGATGTGGAGCTTACTGCACAACCCATCTGCTCACTCATCCGCATGAGCGCTAACACCTGTTTGATCGATCTTTATCCTACTTTTGTGGTTGGTTTGCTCTTGATTTACAAACTAGAAAAGTTAGCCTGGACCAGATCAGCGTTATCAAGTGAAGCTTTCGCCATCTTCCCCCTCTGGAAATTCTGAACTGAACCCCGCATGTGTTTGGAAGTCCAAAGTGCGTTCCCCCCCCCCTTGCCAGTCCAAGAAACCCCCCTCTCCCTTGGATGAGATGCTGCCCGTGCTATGGTATGGATATTTTCTGGAATCACCCAATAGCCAAGCTTGTGCGTCATGTTTTATAAAATTGCCAAGTTGCTGTATTAATAGTGTTCCATAGGGAAATTTTATGGATGTTTGTATTCTAGGAGCATTAACTGATGCTAAAACTGGAGATTAGCCAATATGCCAAAACTGAGACTTATTTGATGTTAGCCTGAAATTTGCTGGAGTTACACTTAATACAAAAAAGTCTAAGTCAGAGACATTGTTATCAAGTGCTCTTGGTAGCTACATGTAGACATAAGGTGGTATTTCTTGTATTAATTTGTAGTTTTTGGGGCAGATACTGTCTGTCACTTTCCTCACTCAGATACAATAAGGGCCTTCACCCATAACATGGTGAAATGTTGGGGGTGGGGGTGGCTTCCAATCAACATTCTATGACAAAGAACACTGAACAAATGTAGTTGACCATTCTGGAAGGAGGAGAGAAGAATTTGGCTTACATGAGTATGAGTTTGCCTCTCTATTTAGGCACTGAATGTGGTGTAGCTATGTCAAGAGACTTTTTATTGCCTTTCACTAGTACAATGATTTATTGAAGGCTTTTGTGCAAAAAGGGRYTACATAGCTTTTTGGGCCGATTTTTATCTTTTGCAGGATTGAGCTAATTTTTGGCAGACTGACTTGTTTTGACATGAAAAGCATCGTTGCATAATTGTTTTTGTTGATTTGCACTTTGTTTTTGAGAAATAACTTATGCAAAAAAACTCAGTTTTCCAAGCGGCATCTTTTGGAGTGAATCCTTCGAAGGAGGATTTCGAGGTGACGTGAACTTCAACGGTTACTTTTAGCAGCTTCGACAGCACTTTATTTTTTAAATAGATGTTTTCATTTTTAGTGCAGAGTGCACTATTGGGATGGTTATGGGAGCTGCTTGCCGCTAAGGAACTAAGGCGCTATGGCCCTATGGCCCTATGGCGCTATGGCTCTAAGGTGTAAACTTTAATGTTTGTTTAATTAATTAATTTCAATTAATTAATTAGTCTAGAGGCAAGGAAGTAGTGGGGGAAGGGTGGGAAAGGTACATGATTGTGTACGCTACGTAAAACACATTCCATCACCGTCACTTAGCTTTGAAGATTGCAAAGCTATATATTTGTCTCGGGTAACCCCTTGCTCTCCTTGTGGTACCATTCTCCTTAGAAGAAAACTAATTTGCCCTAAATGCATGCGTAGATTAGTTAGCATTTGTGGCTTCTATATTAGGTGAAGGATATGTTGCATACGGAATCATGCACAAATGTTGAGTGGTTTTCCTTACGGTAGAGCTCAACATATAAGACGCATGCATTCTAGCATCGTTAGTGTTATACACTATCTTTCCACGCGGTATTTTATTATTATGTCATGTGACCAAGGACGGCAGCTATTTTTCAGGTAGCGCCAATTGTCCCTTTTTATTGCAAAAGTGAAATGTTACTGTGGCTGCGTAGCTTTTAGAATTACACACAGGTCAGTTCAACAAATATCATCTGCTGTTTTCAATCTACAATAGTGTGCTTGTCAGGGTTCAAATGTATTGCTTCTCCGTAGCGGCTTGTTTATTTCTTGCCTTAATTGTGTCTGTAAGAGAGACCAAAAAGTTCCCAAGTTAGTGGCTTTAATACTCCCCAAATTGTAAATTTGTAACAAAAGAAACCAGGAAAATACTCATATTGCTGCAGACACAGTGGCACCTAATGAAAGCGCAAATTAATTCAATCAGTCTTTAAGGAGACTCATTCATATGGGTGAAGTAGCGCTGTTTATCTTCAATACTTTTCGTTGAAATGCTTCTCAGCCATCAATATTGTTGTGTGTTAATTTTGAATTGTCTTATTGTTAACAACAAAGGTGGCAACAGAAAAATAAAGTGGTATTTTGTGACTATCTGATAATTAAATTAGTTTTTGTTCATCGGTAAAAATTTGCATTTTTAGTAAACAACATTGTTTCTGTTCTGTTTCTTCATCACTACATCACTACATTTTGGAGAAAACAAGGGTTTCATATTACATGCCTTTGCGAGGACAACAAAAGTATCAAGTTACAAAGTTGGCGTGAAGAGCTAAATTGTCACGTTTGCTGCTTCAGCGTATTATTGAATTTAAAACGAACGAAAGTCAACGTAAAACGCCAGTAGTAATTAATTTGTGCGTGATTTTTGGACCTTGAATGAAAATACAACCTTGAAACATACACACTGCAAAGGGGAAAAGCCGTAGCAGACTACCAAGGTAGACACAAACCGGAAGTGAACCGAGCAGGGGTGAGTACTTATGGGACTACTGTACCAGAGCTATCAATTGTGCTCTGCACTATCTGAGATTGTCTCACTAGTTGAAAGAAGTAGAGAAATAGACTGGAAAAAAAAAATTGACCCACCTTGTATTGAACCGGTGTCACGACAAAACAAACTCGAATCCGGCCTGTTAAGTGCCTTATTTGCTTGCGCTAACAAAGCAACAGAAAGAGAATAGCATAATTACATTAATAATAAAACTAGCGGCAAATGCCACGCTTTGGTGATTTCATAGTTTAGCAAAATAAAAGCTTTCTTTTGTTTTTCGTTCAACAAAAGATCTCCAAAAGACACCCTTGGAAAACTGAGTTTTTTGCATATGTTATTTCTTGAAAACGAAGCACAAATCAACAAAAACAATTACGCAACGATGCTTTTCATGTCAAAACAAGTCAGTCTGCCAAAAATTAGCTCAATCCTGCAAAGGATAAAAATCGGCCCAAAAAGCTATGTACGCCCTTTTTGCAGGAAAGCCTTCAATTAGTGCAGACAATCAGTGAATGTGAGGTCGTTATTCCACAATTTTCCACTTATTTTCTGAAAAATTCTATTTGTTATTGAGGCACTGTATTGTGGAATCTTGTTTCAGATTATTTAAATGACTCTTGTAGCTTCAGGCAATTTCATAAAAAGGTGAAATCTGATTCCACATTTAGGGAAATCAGATTTACCAGNAACTGAGTTTTTTGCATATGTTATTTCTTGAAAACGAAGCACAAATCAACAAAAACAATTACGCAACGATTCATGTCAAAACAAGTCAGTCTGCCAAAAATTAGCTCAATCCTGCAAAGGATAAAAATTGGCCCAAAAAGCTATGTACGCCCTTTTTGCAGGAAAGCCTTCAATTAGTGCAGGCAATCAGTGAATGTGAGGTCGTTATTCCACGATTTCCACTTATTTTCTGAAAAATTCTATTTTTTATTGAGGCACTGTATTGTGGAATCTTGTTTCAGATTATTTAAATGACTCTTGTAGCTTCAGGCAATTTCATAAAAAGGTGAAATCTGATTCCACATTTAGGGAAATCAGATTTACCAGACTATCCGCATAGTCAGTAGTGAAGAAGATGTGCGATTTTGAATTTTGAATTATAATTATTATTATAATTGTAGTTATTGTATAATTATTAAATTATATTTTGTATTGTATTGGTTTTACTTTCATGTCTGATATTTATGTATTTGATATTATTTTATCCACTTTCACATGTAGGTTACGTAGGTACTAATTAGTTACACACGACTCCTCAAGCACGTAATGTTTTTAATCTCATTGTGTTTAAATAAAGAATCTTACTTACTTAATCACTCTACAAGTGATATTTTTGAAATTCTTGCAAAATTTCACAAGCCTTTTGGTGAGTGCAATTTAGAAGAATTTTCATGTATAGCGAGTAGTGTAAATCTTTAATCTCCCAAGCCTTCATATAATTACACATTGATTATGTGACTGAGCAAATTACAAACTCCTGTGCATGTTAATTTACACTGCATTGCAAATCAAATGAAGTGTAGTTTTCGCAGTAATACGATCAATTAATTAATATGCATTATTGGAAAGGTGAAGGCGCTGTGGCTTCATGGTTAGTGTGCTCGACTCTGGATTAAACAGTCCGGGTTTGAACCCTGGCCAGGACATTGTGTTTTGTTCTTGGACAAGACACTTTACTCTTACAGTGCCTCTATCCAACCAGGTGTTCAAATGGGTACCAAATAATTGAATGCTTGGAGTAACCCTGTGATGGCCTAGCATCGCAACTAGGGGGGAGTAGAAATATTCTTAGTCACTTCATGCTACAGAAATTGGGATAAGCTCTGTTCCGATGGGCCACTTGGCTCATGTGCAGACTTTGCCTGTTATTGAAAGGGCGAGTAAAATCTGGCCAGGGCAAGTATGTTTTCTCACATACTTGCCTAGAAAATAGAATGATATGAATCCCTGAAAAAAAAAAGATGCAGTTGGGTATGATTTGAGGCCAAACTGATGATACCAATTGTATAAGATTGCATCATCCCTCAATATAAAAAAACCCACTTATTTCACACAACATTTTAATGCTAGGCTGTGGCAGATATCTCGAGTTTCTCTCTCTTCTTGTATCAGAAAATTATTTTGCTCAGTTACCTGTGACAAGTTTTTTCATATTTTCCAAAAAAATGTGCATGATGTCACCATTTTGGCTTCAATCGTACCCCTCTACTAGACTTCTATTTTCTCTCCAACTTTCAGTGAACTATTTTGTCCTTATATTATGAAACACTATAGATACAGATAAAAGGGAGAAATGAATAGTTTTTTTACGTGACTAGTAACAGTGTGAATTTGAAACATTATGCAGTATTTTACTGTTTTATATTTTGCTCACCCTAACAACTGGTGAAATGTATAGTTATCTGTATTTAGCTCTTATTAACCAAGCAGGAGGTCGGTATGGGAGAATCTTGACTGAGGTTGGGAGTACAGACCGAACGCAGTGAGGTCTGTACACACAACCAAGGTCAAGATTCTCACATACAGATTGACTAAGCTCAGTTAATAAGATGTTAATTATATGGCAAACAAGAAAAAATTACTTCATTTAATGTAACTGGTTTGTAATAGCTGACATTTTGCTTGAGAACGGCGATGAGCTGAACTTAATTCTGCCAAACTCGTCCTCTTTACTTTTTTTCCTGATCAGGCTTCGCACTTCCATAATATGGATATTTTCCGGAACTAATATTTTGGAAGAAAATAGTCAATATTTTTGTATTTAGTTTGCAACTTTTTTACGGCAAAATGTAATTGGTCAAGTGCCGGTCTAGATGGGAAAATCTAGACCATGGTCAATATCGATTTCAGCCGATCAAATTCATGAATTCGGTAGTTCCCAGTCCTTCTGAGACACAGCCATATAATAAGAATGTTATTTACCTTTGATGCATGATTTATGAGAATGTTTACCTGTCTTGTTCTTCAGGTAATCTAACAAAGGATGCAGATAGGCCACTATGTACACCAATAAAGCTTATATACTGATGACTTGCAGTTCAAGAACCCTGTCGCTGTTTACAAGATGTCATATTCCAAGAGTGTTTCTCAGTCACAGTAGCATTTTATTATCTTCACAGCTTGAAAGAAAGCCCAGAAACAGCAGTTGTGTTATTGAATCACGACTAGCGCTTGGGACCACATTGTTGAAAGGGAAAGCTGGAAGCTCTTTTCCATTGATGCAAAAGGCATATTACAAAACTAAAGCAGAAGTCCCAGTGCCTTTTCAAGTTCAACTGAACAAAAAAATTATATCACTTAAAACAGTCCAAGATCAGCTTAGTCTGTATGACTCTGAATCTTTCATGAATGTTGTGAACAGGGTTTCACTCCTTTTCAACATTGCCAGGATTGTGGCAAGAGATAAAAGGCAACTACATTTGTTTAGGAAAATTAAGAGTGAATCACACGCCTTGAGTGGTAGCTATATTCGTCTGCTGGATTCACTTTCTGCAGATATTTCTCGGTGCTCCCCGAGATGCCTTGCAAATATGATGTGGTCCTTAGGCAAAATAGAGGAGAAGAGTCATTGCCTGCTTCAGATTTGTGAAGAAACCATCTTGTCATGTGATTTGAGTTCTTTCACACAGCCTGATATCTTTCAGATTGTGAAAGGATGTAGTCTGCTTGGCATTCAAGGGAATAAAATATTTCTAAAACTGGAAGAAGCCATTTTAAATGGAGAGATTGCAATATCTGACTTCAAAGATCGTGATTTGACCTTGGTTGTTATGTCATTTGCCAAAAATGACAGCGGTGGTGAAACCTTGTTTAACCATTTCCAGTCAGAAATTTTAGCCAGAGATCTCACTGCATATGAAAGCCGCCAATTGGCTGGATTTGTTTGGTCATTTGCTAAACGAACATTGAGCTGCTCAAGTGATCTTTTTGATCAGATCGAGAGTGAAGTCCTGCGACGAGGGACAAAGACTGTGCAGAATGTACCTACATTGATGTTGCTTTGGTCATTTGCCAAAATGGGTTTGGGAAGTGAAAGGCTATTCAGTGCATTTGATAGCAACCTTGTTGCAAGAGGATTGCAGGCATTTGCTACCACGGGCGTGGTTCAATTGGTATGGTCTTTTGCAAAGAGAGGACTTAAAGACGCAGGTTTGTATGCTGTGGTGGAGAATGAGGTATTAGCGCGTGGCATGTCAGTGTTCCAAGATTACCAGTTGGTGGTTTTGCTGTGGTCATTTACAAAGGCAGAGAAATTTGACACAGAGTTAGTCAGAAGTATATCACATGAATTTCTGCAACGAGATGTCAAACAGCTCAGAGGCGACCACTTAAGTCAATTGGCTTGGACTCTGGGGCGTGCAGGAATAAAAATCCCTGAGCTCTTTGACTCCATTGGACAAGTCGTTAAGAATTGTCCACCGGACATGACTTCAAGTCAATTGATTGCATTGATAAGAGGATTTGTTGAAGCCAAAGAGGGAAGCAGCGAGCTGTTTGATTACCTCAGACTTGCTTTATTGAAAGACATCAAAGCTTTAAGTGCTGATAACATTTGTGAGGTATTGTGGTGCTTTTCTGAATGCAAATCTCCAAGCAACAGACCAGATGTTTTCAGTACCATAGCAAAGGAAATTCTTTGTCGAGGGATTGCAAGCTTCAACACAGTCCAGCTTGCGAAGATAAAACAATGTTTCCTTGCAGTGAAAGAAGGATCTGACTGTAGTGAGCAACTGCTAGAAATGTTGCAAAATGTTGACAATGACGATAAAGATGCTCAAGAAGAGAATACCAGCTAAGCAAATGTTATGGTATTGTCAATTTATTCAAATTTACTTTTGGTTTATAACAGCAATGACAATAATGATTTATTGCAATGTACTGCATAATGTGCCATGTAAGTTCATTTTGAGGCAGACCAAATTTGAATACAAAAAATATTCTGTTACAATGAATTTGAATGAAAAAGCAAAAAATATGGGAAAACAAAAAAAGTGAAATTTGAGCCTTTTCAGAAACTTGTTCACTATTAGGGAAACAACTTTAATGCTGGGCATGTGTCTGTACAAAAGTTGTGGAAACCTACTGCAGAGACAAAAATGTGTGTGATTGTACTGATTACACCCGCTTTCAGTGTTACATACATATTGACTTTCTTTTGACATGCCATCTCTTGACATGCTATGTGATCTGGCTTAGGTAAAAAATGTAAGCACAACTGACTTCTTTATGGTTGAACTTGACTTTAAGTCATGAACGATGGATTTACTTGACATCAAACTAAGGCTAGGAGTATCAAGAAAACATTCTGTGAGAGATAAATTGACTGTTTTGAATGTTTACATCTTTCAAATATTAACTGAGCAGTAGCTGCCCAATTCTACTGGAAGTCACCATTGAGAGCCAATTAACTAGACTAATCAGTTGAATTCCGTAAATCACGAAGCATGCAAAGTCCACAATCTTCTTCGTTCATTTGAGGTCAGTAATTATCATTTAGTAGTCATTTGTTCTGCTAAGAACAAAATGGTCTTTCAGCTGTTTACACAGCACGTTGAAAGATGGCATGTCAAAAGATAGTCGAAAGATGTTGCCTATGGACGTAACACTGAAAGCAGGTGTAAGGCATGATATTTTTAATTGTATAGTTGTTGAAAGAAATGAGGGACACTATTACAGTGATTTTGTGGCATATTTGGTCAAGCAGTGCTAACATTAATCCAGTTACTCTACATTGGTCACTCAACTCGTGACAGACAGGCTTATTTTATTAATTCAAACGGGTTCCCTGAGGTTACCCCTGTTAATTCAGGGTGTTAACTCTCAGGATGACTCTCTTTCTCCCTTTTCTCTAAATGTCTACTGGGCCCTAAATGATTGGTACAGGTTATTTAGGAATTCAAGTGCAGTAGACCTTTTGCTGATACAGCAGCCATTTTGATGTCTATTGATTGGAGGATGCTGAGGGGGCAAATAAGTAGGTATTTGCCCCCTAAGTATCCCATAATAGCTATTTGAAACAATAGAATTCAAAATGGATGTTGTATTGGTAAAATGGTCCATTAAGAATTTACAATGTGAGTGATGTTTGAAAATTTTGACAGTATGATCACTCATTTATTTTGCACCTGGGAAAACTACTGGAAAATCTACATGCCTGTTTTGATTTGCACTGTTGCACAAAATTAAAATTAATGATGAACTTGCCTGCTCTGAGCCAATCACAATGAAGTTATTTTGATCAATTATATAATGAGGACCTTTCTGTACACCTCTATTGATATCTTAATTGAATCATGTGTACTTTGTTTGCCTTTTCATTTTGTATTGTTATCAGCCCCTCTAATTGTAATTATGTATTGGAAGATTTGGCTAATAAAGGTGTTTAAAAACCACTTTTCTTTCCAGTGAAACAGTGCAAAGATCACCGAGTAACACGGTGCGCTGCAAGATATAGCTATACTCTGCCGGCGTCTGCAGAATATATTTTCGAAGAGTTCACAAGGGTATGCAAGGGTTTACAAGGGTGTACAAGGGTTTACAGGGGCTTACAGGGGTATACAAGGGTTTACAGGGGCAAACAAGGGATTTCAGGGGTGTACAAGGGTTTACATGGGCTTTTAGGGGTGTACAAGGGTTTACAGGGGCTTATAGGGGTGTACAAGGGTTTACAGGGGCTTATAGGGGTGTGCAAGGGTTTACAGGGGCTTATAGGGACATGCAAGGGTTTACAGGGGGTTATAGGGGTGTACAAGGGTTTACAGGGGCTTATAGGGGTATACAAGGGTTTACAGGGGTATACAAGAGTGTTCACCTTACCTTACAAGGGTTTCACAATAGTTTACATGGGTGCACATACTAGTTATGCAACACTTTCTCGTTGTATACCATGGAATGTTCCACGAGTCGTTATTTGTATAAAGGCGTGTGCATACCAAGTGACTCATGGGATATTTAATGGTACTATGTTGCGAGGTGTTTCATAACCATTTTATACCATGTCATTGTAAATACCGTGGTCAACACAGTCAATGCAACATACGTGCAGCACACAAATGGAAGGTTGTGTGTAATACCGTCGAATACACAAGGCTTCCCCATATTCTGAATAGCTGTATTTTCCATGGCATGGCATAGAAGGTTATACTGGGGTTTACAGGGGGTATTCAAGGGTAAGATGGTGACCGTGGAGGCTTAACATGAATTGTACGTCGATATATATATTTTGGATAAATTTGCGTCTCACGAATTTTTTTGGTGTTGCTGTAAACCCTGAGCTCGATTTCCAGCCGTGTTGGACGCGGGCTCACAAAATGCCTGGCAATCAAGCCTATGTAAGCCCTACATAAATCTGCGCCCGAATTACATGCACTAAAAGACACAGACAACTCTATGTTGAGGTCTGAGTGAAGTTAATTTCTACATAAATAGTCTGATTTTAGCATGTTCAGGGCTAAAATGAATTAATTCTTCATACAAATCCTTCGTTGCGTAATGTCTAAGAACAGTGAAACCGAGCTTGGTCGCCTGTGAACGAATTAACTGACCAATTGTGTGACCAGTTGGTACTTTCTATACACGTATAAATCATAAGGCTGTATAGACAGTAAGTAGAGATGTTTATTATTTCAACTCAGCCTCCGTGACCCAGATTGCGTGTACTTTCTCGCCGTGGTTTGTTTATCAGACCACCAATTGTTATTCAGTCACTTAATTTACAAACTGTTGTAATAACTAGGTCAGCAATGCGTACAGAGAGCTAGACAATCATCTATTTTCACCTATGGGACATCTTGATAACATAAGCCAAATTTTTCAAGTTTGTCATCCATAATCTGTTTTAATATTTCTCATCTGCAGGTATCCATTATTATTTTAGATTCGCTACAATTTGGAAGCGATTCTGAACGTCCGAACAACGACACTGCATAAACTATCGCAGCAGAACTCCTTTAAAGTTGTTTTTTGGCTGCGAATACTCAGTGAGCGCAGCCTTGATTTGTTGCTATATTTAAATCCAGAGTTCAAAGATTTGCTCTTGATTTTCGTCTGCCCTTTCGTTAGGATCTCTATCCGCAAGCTCAGACTTTAAAGGAGCAGACAAAGAGAAGCGAGCTTCCTTAAATCGAGGATGTAAAAACCTGTAGTAAATACTCATCATGATTAGGCCAAAGGAGAAGAACAAATAAATGACAATAAATCCTGCCATCTCTACTCTAAGCGGTAAAAGTCTCGTTTCGTTCGTGAACCAGAGAAGCGAAAAAATCAAAATTTCTATGAAAGTCAATATGTAGTATTTCACTGCCCAGCTTATCGTTCGCACACCTTCTAAGCAAAAGAAACAAAACAGATGAATATAAGACATTAAAGCACGTACAAAATGCTGCTGCCATTTGTGCCCTGGAAAGAAATAAACCTCATGACGGCTGAGAAACGCGAGGACTATGAAAAAATGAATCAATAGAGCTAGGAAGAACCAGAGTTTGAATTCTGTTGCGAAGAAAACGAGAGCAAGAATTCGAGAAATAATCATGAAAGCACGCCATAACCACATTGAGAGGTAACCATACCAGCGCAACTGGCCTTTATGACGTTTCGAGTCACGAAGGCAGCTTATATAGTTGACAACCGCTCTGGAATAGGAAATAAACGAAAAGCAGATTGACAGCATGGTCCATAAGTCTTGGATGTTTGTTGCCTGTAATGTATCAACGTAACGGCGTGACACAAGGACATAAAGTTGTAAAACAAGCTGGGGTGCATCTTCAGTGAAGGCTAAGATCATCTGCAGTAATGCTGCATCAAGATTCATGGCTACCAATAACTTGTGATCAACAACGCGGTCGTCTTTCTTCCGTTTTATTCTGTACGATTTGACGAGAATTCTCCAGTTCCTGTAAAAACGAAAAATCAGGGGATTCAGCAAGAAAATTAACAACGAAAACAGTCCAGGTGTACCATTCGTCAAAAGGTCACGCAACGCTTCTTGAAAGAGGCGTTGTGTGACGATAGTTTGAAATAGTTTGGTCCTGTTTTTTCCTCTCCTTTTCGAGTTATTCGCAATTTAACTGCTTATTTTGACTTTTTTCATCTGATTCCAATGCGTTAAGTTCCGTGGGTTCGAGTACAATTACTCTTCGTGCAAAAGTCCACTATTTTCTTTCACGCTGAAAACGTGAAAGGAAGTACGCAGGCTAGAGACAATAGGAAGCTTAAGCAAACGATGACCGCAACGGCAACGAGAACACCACCAAACAAAAGATTTAAAGAGTGGAACAATGGCTCTGCACGTAAGTTATAAATCCTTGTCATTTCTTTGCCGTCCTCTGCACAACAACAACGTGAAATGACTAAGTTCTGCGTATTTTAGAGAACACGAACGACGGGGGCAGCTAATTTTTCGAAGTTAAAATATAAATTCATTTTTTTTTAACCAGGCGTTGTCCTCGGGGCCGTCATTGCTTTTAAAAGCTCTCTAATACGACACAACCATCTCCTTTTCATGTCTCGCTAAGCGGTCACGCATCGCTTCTGAGAAGAAGCGTTGTGTGACGACTGGAGTTTTTGGCAATTCTCAGTCGATTAAAGGGGGCGGGATGTTGTAAAATAGTCTGTTCTTAGTTTTTCCCCTTTTCCCGCTGTACAGATTTATTGCTTATGTTGATTTTACGGAATCATGTGTGTCCGATATTTGTGGTCAACGCGCAATTTTGCGTGACGAGCTATATGGACTGTTATGTTGTACTTGCTCAAACGGAATATTATTATCACGTGCTTTGTAAGTGAAAACAAGTAATGCATGTGCTACTGTTAGTCTTTATAGCAACACTCACCTCTCTACAAGCCCCACTAGAAAAAAATGCGTTATTGCAACAGTTCTCCAGCCACTCTTCGGCCGTCTTCCGACCTGCTCATCATCTTCTTTGTACCAGAAGAAAGAGAAAAGATTTGTGACCACTGACGGCAGCAATACAAACATGACTGTGAAACTCGCCCACCAGTTGCTGCCTGCAGTGTAATGGTCCGCTGCAACCTTCAGGTCAGTGCCAATGTCGGCGAGAAAAGCTCCGATCGCCACAACAGAGAAAAATACGCCGAGCCATGTTGCGTTACCTCGCTTTCTCCACAGTTCGGAGAAATCCTTGTCCATTTTACGTGGCCTCATTTTTAAATTACCCATTACTAAATAAACAGCTTGTTTAAAGCGCTCTCGTGGTGGCAAATGTCTGAGCTTACTCGTATGGCTGGTATATTTTGTGCGTCCTTTGCTTAAGAATTTGATTTCGTCTTCCGGTAACGCTTCTGTCACGGTTTCATTGGTAGTAACTACAATCGGTCGCTCGCTTGGGAGGGTTTGCTGAGTCACAGCGACACTGTAGCCATAATAATGCTTGTAATTGCGTAAGGATGAATTTTTGCTGTTTAGATGTCCATAACCGTTCGTGGCAGGTTTCGTGTTTAATTCCTCGTCGTCTAATTCGAGACAGACTTGTTCCACAGCTTTTACTTCTTCCTTCTTGACGCGAACATAAAACCGTGCTGGATTGACGTAAGTTGTGCTTCCACGGCTTGAAGAGAGAAAGCTTTCCACTGACCAGTTTCGATCTACTCTTCTTCCGTCGACGTTATCTCTAATCGAGTCGGAATCCGCTGAAACAGTTGTTAGAGTTTGTACAACTTTACGAAGTAGAAGAACCTCTTCCTCGGTTAACTCTGCCACTCGGTCACCTTCTGTTGTCGAACCGCTTGTAGAATGAGTCGAAAGTTGTCTTCTCAGAGCTCGTACAGTCTGCTTCTGTTTATCATCTAAATTTAGTCTAGATCGCGATAGTTTTGGATGTTGTTCATCCATTTATGAACACCAATTGCCCACGATTAATTTCGCGAACAAATTGCTTCGCTGGTAAGGAATCGCACGTCACTCGTACACCGGAAGAAATAATTTATGCGTGCACGCATGGCAAGCATCTGAACATCAGTACAGCAAGGAAATGGCAATTTCGTTTTACGGTATTAACTTTCAAGAGTTTAAACCAAATCTTTTCTCGTTCAATATTGAGAAGTTTGTGAGACCCCTTGTTTGTTCTGTACATAAACAGCTTGCAGGGCAATAACATGCTGCTGACCAACTATAGAACTGTGTTTGTTTATCTCGGGAAATGAGTGGTTCGAAATGTAAAAATATTTAAAACCTTAACACAATGTTAATGCGGCAGCGTGTGAATTAATTTTAATGCTATTTACTAGCGTTATAGTTATTGATGAAAAGTGCCAGCCGCACAGAAGTCTGATGAGAGCGGTGTTTTACTTAGAGAAATTTCATTTCATCGGAGGAATTTAAAAACGTCAGCTTTGGACAGAAAAAAAAATTTGAAAACGGAGCATGAACATGAACTCGTTACATGACGTCATTCACATAATAGCAAGTATGAAATAAAAACTTCATATGAATCGTATAAATGTGAGACAGACTACGAGCTGCGAGCTACGATTATTACTTATCATTTGCCTGAATAATTACAAAACAAGCCTAAATGAACGAGTCTGTATTGTCTATTTGCACAGCAGTGCAAATTAAAAATTAGCCATAACTTTGCATGCTTTCAGTCAATCACAAGTATTTTTTTTTTTTCAGTGTACACGTGATAAGGGCAAGAACGGAAAACTGGTGAAGCTGTATTTTTTCCTGAATGCACGGCGCAGGGCTCAGTTAAGGTTGATTTCTATATAATCGCTGCGATCGCCACAATCGCTGCAAAGAGGGTTCCAATTCAGAGTGATCGTTGAGTGACTCTCCAGCGATTGTAGCGATCGTGGTGACGACGATTTGCTGAGGTATCTCGCGATCGACTGTCGCAATCCCATCCCCGGGGGGAATCCCATATTAAAAGGTCCAGGATGTTCGTTTTCTCGCTTTGGGGTATAAATCAAGGATTCTGGTGTCACTTAAGGTCCGGCAATACGGGCAAAACTTTTCTTCGACTTGTCTCGCAACATTGTTGCATTGCAAGTTGAAACACATTGTTGCGCGTATTACCAGGTTTGTGACTAACTTGTCTCGCAGCAAGATAGGCCAGCGAAGTGAAAAGCACACATTTCAAAAGCAGCGTTGGTTTTGATCGAAGAGAAGAGGGTACACTGAACATGCAGCCAAACTACAGCTTTCTGTTCGTACTAAAAGTCGAACACATTTCGTGAAGACATGTCTGCAAGGTTTGCCATTAACACTGACTTCAAACTTCAAATACACAACTTATCCGCTGCGGTCCACAGTAAACTGTCTCAACACTCAAAAGTCCGAAATATTGCACAACACTCGAAAGAAAGCACGAAAATGGAGATGACTTTATTAGCCTCTGAAGAATTTTTTGGGGGGGCGCGGCGGGGGGGGGGGGGGAAGGAGGCAAATTGGTGTCCACAGGAAGATACATACAGGAAAACTCGATTTTCCTCCATTACCCGATTAGAACTGCGTTCTGTCGAACGCAATGATGGAGTCTAAATAGGTCATTTCCGAGTTACCTTGCGCCTCTGTCTGTTTCAAAACGAATCTTCGTGCAAAACCTTTGATATGAGTTTAATTTGTATAAAGGCGGAACATATTTCCTTATGAATGGTTTCTCACGAAGACTCGTTTTGACACAGAGGCAAAATTCAACCCGGAAATGGCCTGTTCAGTTAGATTCCATCTACTAGCGCGAGTTCCTTTCCTGAAGAGCAACTGGTAATCAAGCTTATTCCGTTTTAAGTGGTATCTTTTAGGGGTCAAATAAAGCTCGAGTCATGCTCAGATTGATCTCCTCGTGATCCGGTCTTGCTGAGAACTGAATAATAGGCTCCTGTAAACTGCAAATATCTTACTGATTGTTACAGATTACATGTAATGTCTCAGTGGCAGTCAATATGACTTATACTCTAATCACCCTGAAACGATTATAAAATATTTTGTAACTAATCTTAATAAACACAAACACAGCATCAGGGGTGGGCATCTCGTTTATTGATGCAGGATACAGCGAGCGTTACATCATCATAAAGAAAACACAGCAGTGAATAAACAGAAAATTAAAAAGCAAA